TTTGAAAAGGCCTTTGACAGCGTCGACCGAGAAGTAATTTGACAACTGCATCAACACTACGGAATACCACAAATCTTTATCAACCTCATTCAACAACTATATGAAGACACCATATGTGATCCACAATGAAAAGCTCAGTGACGCTTTCGAAGTGAAGACAGGAGTAAGATAAGGCTGCCTACTATCACCCATGATCCTCGTAATCGTGGTGGACTGGATCATGCAGCAAACTGTGAGGAAGGTGAAGAGGGGCATATACTGAACCACGGAAGAGATCCTAGATGATTTGGATTTCGCCAGTGATGACTTGTGTATAGTATCATACAAACTTGAAGGTCTACAGGCAAAATTTAACAAGTTGACAGAAGAGGCAACGAAGAGGGGACTTCAAGTGGACGTAGAGAAGACAGAGGTGGTGATGGTTGATACCCGACCAACACCACCAACAACAACAAGCTCCAATTACCATCAACGGTGGAAACTTAAAGGAAGCAGCCTCTTCCACCTATCTAGGAAGCATCGTTTCAACTACAGGCAGCGGCAAAGATGACGACATCAAAGCCAGGATCGGAAAAGCAAGACAGGCGTTAATTAACCTGAAACCAGTGTGGAAATCATCTGCACTCAGCATAAAGAAGAAGAGCCGGATTTTCAACACCAATGCCAATCAAGTCAGTGCTCCTGTATGGTTCAGAGACTTGGCGCGTTACGAAAGGGATTTCCAACAAACTACAGACACTCATCAACAACTGCCTACACTGGCTCGATACTGAAGCTCAGATGGCCAGAAAGAATAAGCGACAAGGAACTCTGGCAACGAACCAACAAAGGACCCACCGCCGAACAAATATGCAGAGGGAGAGAGTGGAGATGGACTGGGCATACACTGAGAAGACCATTCGGCGACATCACACGACAGGCCCTCGAGTGGCACCCAGATGGGAAACGACGAGTTGGGAGTTCGAAGTGAGGGTGACATGGAGGAGATCTTGTGAATAAGAAATGAAAGCTTGTGAGCAGTCGTGGAGCCAGGTTCAAAAGATTACAGAGAACAGAGTGGGATGGAGACGTGCTACGGAAGCCCTATGTTCCACTAGGAACCCAAGGGACAAACAATAATAATAATAATAATAATAATGGAAACGAAAAAAGCAACTGCATAAACTGTTTCTGCACACATAAAATCTGATCTATCTAGATCTCTCTCTCTCTCTCTCTCTCTCTGATACAAAGCAGATGTTTCACATGCACCTTCAAACAAGTTCAATCTAACTTTCTATATCATGCCAAACAGTGGATCGAAGGCTTTATTACTTTACTCTACTGTAAACAGCTGAAAACTGAGAATCATTAGTTCGACTGCTATAAAGACTTCACGAGTACTTCTAAAGGATTTCAACGATAGGATTAAAAATTCCAAAGGAGTTTTCATCACGAGTCAACACCAGTTATAGAATTAATGGGAACTTGGGAGCAACGGACAGCTGTTTTGTCCTAGGTTGGAACTTTCCAGCAGTAAACACTCAAAACTCAGTGTGGAAACGAACCCAGGGTTGTTCAGTCGCACGATGAATATGTTACTATTGAATCACTGGGTCCGAATTCAGTGATTCACTTGATTAATCAAATACTACCGATGAGCATTTCTCCACGCACCCACCCATATCCAACTCAGTTAACAATAAAGGTCACAAGTTCTCATTTGGAGGTGGATTTCGAAGCAAGTGAGTCAGTAACAGGGGGAGGAGAATCCGAATGATTTCCTAGTAGTCCTCATCACCAACATCCGACAGAAAGTGTTTAGCAATGTCGGTCTCTGTTGGCAGGTGTTAAGAAAAAATGTAGTGAGAATTAAAAGATAAGATTTTTCGAAAATCACAAGTTTTTATTGAGCTAAAACAACTACCCTAGTTGTTGAAAACAAGAGAAATAGAGAAAAGGATACGTGTTTTTACATAAAGTTTAACTCAACAAGTTTACAAGCAAAACATGTGACTAGAAAACAGTCATTTTTAGCGATAAAAAAACCTTCATTTTCCAAAAACTATACATCTAATTACCCACAGTTAAAGTTAGATGGATTTATAATAAAGTCTCATAAACTATATTCATTTGATCGATAGCCTGTTGGATGGCATCAACGCGAAAAGTAATCACCATTACCATGATCATCTTACCAGGGAATCAATATGTGAAAACTGATACTATATTTGTTGTTATTTTGTAACCAATCAGTTACCAGTTCAATCAAAAGAATGACTTAATTAGTCAGTAAGCTGACTTTTTATCAACTCACTAAAATGATCGGATTAACTGCCATGATCCATTCTTTTAACTGTACCAGTCAGTCAGTCAATATGAATATGCGACTTAGTATTATCGTGTAGAGATCCAAGTTCATCATCAATATCAACATAGGACCAGGCATTATTGAGTAACAGTTCAAATTACCACGCCTCATATAAGCACATCAAGTAACAAAGCAATAAGATGAAAGATTAAAAAAAAATTGAGAAGAAAGCAGTAGCAAACAATAAGACGGAAGAAAGAGAAGTAAGAAAATAATGAGTTCAGTATAGCAGTAGTGTGAGGATATACCTGTGCTGATGACATCGATTCTCAATGATTCGTTGTAGACAGATTAATGGACATAAGCAAAGGCATCTATAACTTTACAAGAATTGATCTACTCCCTGGCGAGCTTCTGGTTGATTTGGAATATTCAGACGGTATTGTCCAGTTAGGTGAAGACGCTGACGAAACGCGGGGTCTGCTGAATAGATATCTGAATATGTTTAGCATATGTTTCATACCTGTTAAATGGAAGATGATGCTCCGAGACTGGTCTGTGACTATTCCTAGTTTACTGATAAGTAGTGAAGTGGCGGAATGCAGTGACCACTCCACTTATTTGAGGAGTTGCATCAGCCCGAACGAAGTGGTTGTCAACACAAACTCAGCTTAGCTAGAGAACGTCCGTTTGGGATTTACTAACTTACATCACGTGTGGCGCCCACTGGCGAGATATCCGACTATCTATCAAACGACGTGTATACTACACTGCACTCCTTTCTGTCCTGTTATGCAATTGCAAGATATTACTGTTAAAATTAGGAGATATAAAGCGGTTACATATCTTTGGTCATAGGTGTCTTTATGACATTGTTTACGTTTGGTGGAAACGCCATTCCAGAAGTGCAGATGTCGGGAGAAGGGTACTAAGCAGGAAAAGGAAGTCGGTCAATGAGGTGGTGAAGTAAGGTGACTTGGATGCTTGTTGAGCACGCTGAGCCACCGCCTACCTCAACGTGTCATTCTAGGTGGAGTTCGATTAACTAGGAAGAGGGTTCATGGTGACCAGATCAGAAAGCGGTACCAGTTCATGAATTCTCGAACTGCTGGTCCGAGTCGTTTGGGGAGATTTGCGACACCTGGTTGGGGTCCACAAAAAGATAGGAATCAGTGGTTTAGAACTCTTGGTGATATGGATGAACACCGATCACAGTGGCGCAGATGAATCCACTCTTTTGACATCTTCCAAAGCTTGAATATTTGCACTAACCGTTATCTTCAGCTTGTTTATTCTCTCACACCTCTTTGTTTACTTTGATATCAGTCTTTTTCTATCCATCTGTGTTTTGTATACTACTATAAAGTGTGGCAACTTGAGGTGATGGATTTGTGTATGAGGTTCTAAGTTGATTCTACCTGTCTGTCTATTTCTCATTGACAGAGGAATAACTTATAGGTAGGTGGTGGTGGTGGTGGTAGGTAATTCGACAGATGTGAGGCTATACATAATGACTAACCATTAAAACTAAGCATGTCATTGTGTTTGACTTGCAACACCATATGTGTAACACGTTAATTGTTTATTACAAAACATTGGTATAACCAAAATAAGATGAAGGAAACCTATTATTCAAATGCATCACGCAGTTAGTACCAAACACCTATTGTCCTACAATATGATTGAAATGATAATGATGAACAGCTTGGTGGGTGGATAGCTGAATAAGACGAAAATGAATTTTAATAAAAAGATAAAAACACCGATAAAAAATCACTGTCATAAATCAATATGATAGACGGCAATAAATTTAAGTGTAGGCTAAAATGAAGAATACCTTTAATTTAGTGGAATTTTAGATATTTTTGCATAATAACTGTATATACTATGCCTGAATAACAAACTGTTACTCAGCCTTACTTAATTGTCTGTAATGGTAGTAGTTGATTCTATTCCATGATGAAAAGGTTATTTTTAAATTACCATCTATCTATAGTAGCACCAGCATATAAGCTATCGAAATCCAACGGAAGTGCTCTCAGTAACCCGTGCACATTTATGCAGTAGGTAATGTATGTCAACCGGCCGAACCTCAGTAGGTGGGAGAGGTGTTGGGATCTGTGACTTATTGTATCATCCTAGTTTAAAGGTAAACACATATTATACTTAATTAAAAGAGGATACTGGGTGATGATTGAAGGTGAAGTGAAAGTGGCAGGATTCGAACCAGTGATTACCGGGTTTCCGGCCTGATGCTCTACCAATTGAGCTACGAGGTCCAGCTTCAACCACTATCTCAGATAGTCAAACTGGTAATCAATACGGTGCTCCCCTTGCTTTAATTCAAGTAGGTTTGCCTTGAGATGCGAGGTCCTGATTGGGTAGTCAGTGTTAGTACGGTCAGGCGATATCAAAGCATCACGGCGAATTATTACGGCAGTCTGACAAAACCCTTAGTGGTTGAAATGAAATTAAGATCTGATTGGTCAGCAGTTGGGTTTTGTAGCTCAGTTGGTAGACCACTGAGTCAGAAAACCGGTGGTCGGTGGATCAAATCCTGCCGCTGACCCGATTTTCATTTAACCTTAAATCATAACGCAGTATTAAGAACACAAGTCCGCCAAACCATTGCTATCCTAGATAGGGAAACTCATAAAAGAGGATCAGCGGTAATAATAATGATAATAACAATAATACCTATTAATCATACCTTGATCGACAACTGTTGCTGGTGCACGTTCGTTTAACTGACGCGTTGTACTACGACCACTTGAATGATATAATGATGATGATGGAATGCGTGACAGTTCAAGGGAATTGGACTGGCTGTTATTACTGTTGAATGTTGAACGATTCAAGTTATTTATTATTCCTAAATTATTAGATGTTGAAATAACTGGTCCATTCATAATTAACATAGATTCATTTGAATTCATGTTCACCACTGAACTGTTATTATTAATATTTCTGATTGGATTAGAACTATACAAGTGAATACTATTTGTATTAGAGTGGTTGACATTGAAATTACCACCAGTTTGTTGTAAAGAATTGTCAACATGATTGTATACATTGGTTAAGTTGGAGACAACAGGTGGAGTGTTAATCGAATGATTTGCATTATTTTCTATGCCGCCAGTTGCTCCACCAATACTACTAGCAGCTCCATTAATTTCATTTCCAATGATACCTGTAACACTTCCTGTATAGAAGTTACAGTAGGAATCGTTCTAAATTAGAATGTAAAATGTGAAAAGGTCAGTCACTGTAAGGAAATAAAACGACAAGTAAAACAGAGATGCGTACATTTTAAAAAATGGGGGGGGGGGCGGCAGAAATAGTATCTACTTGCGTCATCTGTGGCGCCAACTGGCAAGATATCCGACTATCTATCAAAGGATGAGTGTATTGCGCTGCACTCCGTTCTGTCCTGTTTTACAGCTGAGACATGACCCTTAGAAGCGGAAGACATGGAGCGGTTACAGGGTTTCGATCACAAGTGTCTTCGCAGCATTGCTCGTGTACGATGTAATCACTGTGTGACCGATGTTAAGGTCAGGCGAAAATAACTAGACAACACAAGTAAGTTGATTGATGAGGTTGTGAACCTTAGTCAACTGAGGTGACTTGAACATGTATTTTGCATGCCGATCCACCGTCTACCTGGACGTGCTATGCTGGTGGAAGCTGAGTTAGGTTGAAAGAGGGTTCACAGTGACCAGACCAAAACGTGGCACCACTCCATAAAGTCTTTGACCATTGGTCTCAGGCGTGTGGGGAGATGTAGACTACCTGACTGGATTCTGCAAGACGGTAGGAATCGGTGGTTTAAAATCGGTCAAAATGGCGCGGATGTTTTCACTCCTCTACGTATTCTGAAGCTTGAATATTTGCGTTAATCTTTATCTTCAAATCGGTTATTCTCTCACACAACTTTGTCTACATTGATATCACTTCTTCTTTGTGTACTACTGCGAAATGTGTTAACTTGAACTGATGGGCTTGTGTTCGAAGTTCTAGGTTGATTCTGTCTGTTTGGAAAATGGTATGAAATTTTCAAGATATGAATTCACTCTGAATTTCTGTGTAATTATTGCTCACAAATATTAAACGGTTTGTAAATAGGTTTATGAAATTCTCGGAATACTGAATTTTAGATTTTCACAAAGGCTACAATTGTAGGTTGTAAGATTTTATTCCCGGAAATAAAGTAAATTCGTTACTAACATTAGAGCTTTAAAAGCCTATCACTTAGTGTAATAGTTTATTTAACCTAGTATGGATAGTTATGCGCTTTGTGATCTATTTACAACGAGATGAAATGAAAATCTGGGTCGCGGCAGGATTCAGACAAGCAACTTCCAGGTTACCAATCAGGTGCTTGCCAACTGAGCTACGAGAACATGGCAGTTGTTGACCAGATCTTAATTTCACTTCAATTCCCAAGGCTTTTTGCCCGACTGCCACGTGAATTAGTGACTGTCAGATCATTGTGTGCACAAACTACTCCCCACCCAACCTAGAACCTCTCATCCCAATATCAATTAAGGTGAATTAGAGAGGGGAAGCATCACATATTGAACATCAGTCTAACTATTTGAGATAACCATGGTTTGGCAAACTTTCTTTTCACTTTTAATTATCACACAGTATCAAAACTAAGATAGTATGATTCGGCAGTTGAAAAATCGTAAATCACTCAGGAACCTCGTGCACATTTGTGCAGTAGGCAGCGAACCGCACCTATAGTGTGAGAGCTAATGATACTAACTAGATGTCCAAACCTCGGCAGGTGGGGCGGGATTTAGACAACACCAGTCATATCATTTTGACTGTTTGAGATAGTCATAGTTTAGCAGACTTGTATTATTGATTTGGGTCGAAGATGATTGAAGATGAAATAAAAATTTAGGTTGCGGTAAGATTCGAACCAGCGACCTCTAGATTATTAGTTCACCTTCAATCATCACGCAGTATCAATAATACAAGTCTGCTAAATCACAGCTATCTCAGATAGTCAAATTAACATTAACGTACTCGCATTAACAGAATAATATACTAAAATAGAGCAGGAACAGAAACAAACGACTGATAAGTCTTTTAAGGCGGCTTGGGGCTACAAAAAAACTTTCCACCGATTTCCTTCTATCAAATTCTTCCCTTTCAGTTTGTTTTAATCTTTTAAATTTCTTCTGAACGCATCATGTACTCTTGCATGTTTTTAAAATGTTTCCGAACTTTCGTTTCTCAAGCTAAGAACGAAATAAAGGGGGAATGTTCAGCTGGTCGGAAATGGATTTTTAAGATATGCAAAAATACACCACATTATTATTCCTAGGATACCTATATGGAATTGTGAATTTCTGTGTTAGCCGACTGACTGAACTGCCCCCATCAAAATTACACTCGATTTTGTGTTAATTACCGAATCAAGAACAGATCATAACGTAAAACTAGTTGCCTGTTTCACTTTTATGCCTTCAATGCTGTTATTATTAACACAATGTAGACGTAATAATTATTTCTTTTGAAAATATTGTACAGAAAGAGAATTTCTTGAAATATTCTATGCTGAAATTCCATACTGTATCATACATATTGTTTGGAATAAAGTGAATATTATTATTACTATTATTATCACAAAGTAGGCATGGACTTCAACCGCACTCAATCGTACTCTAATTTTATGGAACCCTACAGACTATCCAGAACAAGAGTAGTTTGAGTGAACAATTAATTGTTGATAATAACATCTTCAGATTCTGCAGTAATAAATCTATGAGGATAAGTGAAATACAAGTGCCAAAGTAAGGTATAATGTAAAATTATTATTTCAATATTGAAACAGTTAGTGTTATGGATGAATGGAGATCAAACTAAATAGATTGTCAGGTGCAGTAGTAATCAGTTTAGTGTGTTAGTTGTGCAATATGGACAGAACTATTGCGAAATAAGGAGACAAAATCTAGACACGATGACTCATTTATGTACACCTATCTGGGTTACGAATGTGTGTGTATTTCTTTGATGAGGGGCAAATAATCACTATGTAGTAATGAGGCATATTCAAGTACGGTGTTAAATCGTATGAATACAACAACAAAATAGTAAATGTGGAGTGTTACGTAACAGTTGAGAGTGATCACCGGTCACTGGTATGAATAAACAAGGGTATGAAAGTAATAACATAAGAGATTGAATTAGTATAATTGCTTGTATGCCAACAGAGACCGATCAATTCGGTCCAATCAACGATGGGATAATACAAGCAGTAACATTAAAACTATACCCGTCGCACAAGAAGTGGCTATCGTGGCTTGGTGATCTAGTGTATAACACTCTGCAGTTTGAAGCGATCTCTCCCGAGTCCGAATCCCAGTGGGAATAACATCACTCATTGGTAGGCAGGTACACTCAGCTGACGAGTCCTAAATAGGACGAAATGCGCATCCTAGATTCCACTGCTAGCCACTATCCATCATTACTATAAGAAATTGAATGTTTACTAATGAAATACGAGAGACAAAGTAATTTTCGCAGAAAAATGAATGGATATGACTTGTTACTATCGAAGTGACCTTGAAATATATCACTTAGTATAATTTCTAATGGCTAGTACCACTCAGTATACATTTTATATGGTCTAAACTAGTGAAATGCTTTGCATCTAAACCTTCTTCAAAAATTCCTTCAGTACTATTCCCACTGCAGACAGTTAAGTATAACAGAATAGTCATCTGCTAAACATGTGCATCAATATTACAAATATTCACAATGACAGGCAGTGAAGGCTTCGTAACATGACCCATCTTTTTACATAGAGATTTCACATCAATCACTCAATAGTTCCATCCTAAGCCTTCAACTATTCTTCTTCGTGAAACCAAGTATTTGCAAGTTACAGTCAGTGGTCAGAATGAAATAACTAGATGAGACTCAGTTATGGAATTTCACCATGATTTCATTCGGGAACCAAACTATTTAGACAGTGATAGTAATCTGCTCAACATAAAAATTGGAGTCCAGATTGAAAGTATCAAAGCTATACGATGGTATTCTATTCAATCGTATGAATAGTTATAGTTAATAACTAGATCTCATGTGTGTATCATTCTCACTACAGGCCCGGTAGTTTATAATAAGCACTTAGTTAAGTAACTAGTCAGGATTCGAGTTGTTTCAAAGGTTTGGCTCTTTAAGCTGAGTAAATCCATGTATAACAACGGTGTGGGCTCAGTTACAAAAGAGTGAAACGATCTTCTAGTGCTTAGGTCACCTTGATCTGGCTGACAACAATTGCTGAAAGATATGAGCAGTCTACAACTACTGAGGGATGTAGACAGATTCTAATATGGCCTGTTTCGCTTGATAGATGAGAAAGGTATCACACTTAACAAGAGTTTTGTCGAATGAATTTAAAAGAACTCAGATAACAACAGAATTCTGTCGACCAATAGGACTTAAAAAGATGATGGCTTGGTAGATTAGTAATCAATAAGGCGAAGGAGAAGCGTACAATGTAGATAAAATCAGAAGATATACTAAATAATAAGCAGGTGCCGCTTTGACCACTCGTTTAAATAGGGATAAAAAAATTATTACATCAACATGATAAGACTATGTCGAAAGCAAGTGAAAACGCATTTAGCAACCAAATGCATTTTTGCGCAGTAAGCAATGAGTCGAGGTGAAAGATACTATTACCTCGGAGCCTCAGTAGGTGGAACGGCATTCAAACCCGTGACCAACTGCTTATAAGTCAACTACCTAGGTCAATGAGCCACATCTCCACATACAACTATGGATATTTATAACTTAAATAAAATTATGAGCATACTGACTGTCAATACTGATTCATTGACTTGAATGGTTTAAAAGGGGCTAGAACAAACATATGAGCAGAATACTATGGATCCATTTTATTATTTCAGTGGTTCACGTCAACTGCTTACAATCGAAAACTGTCATAACAACAAACTGTAACAAAATATCAACATAGTTCAGTGTGTTCAGAGTCAAGACTGGATAACAAAATATATAGAGAAGTAAGGAAACTATCCGAGATGAAATAAAGTCAGAATTTCATATAATGATGATACAAGTATATATTTCAAGCAAATGGTCCCATTGATAAATTTAAACAGCGTAATGAGTGGATGAAGATTATCTGAAACATATATGATGTATTAGCGTTATTCATTTCGAACAATCTGACTACACATAGACTTTT